CTGCCTACAATGTGGGAGAGCCAGGTTCGAGCCCTGGGTCGGGGAGATCCCCTGGAGAAGAAAATGGCAACCCATTCCAGTACTCTTGCCTGGAAAATCCCATGGATGGAGGAGCCTGGCAGACTACAGTCCATGGGGTCCCAAAGAGTTGGACACAATTGAGCAACATCACTTTCTTTCTTCTTTCTTATCTAAATGTCAGCCCAGAACTTCCACTTGTCTGCTCTGCATATCCATCTGAATATCACATGGATATTAATGTCCATTTTAGCTCAGGGTTACTGTGACAAATCTGTAAAAAGAAATCATTTTATTTCCAAGCCTCTAAAAAATTACTGTGTTGTGTGTAATTGTCAGCGTCATCTCATTTGTGATCCCTGTCCCATCTCTGCCCCAGGCTGTATCAAAATGCCGCTTGATGTCATCACAGCGGAACCTGGAGATATAAAAACAAGTGTCAGCTTTTTGCCAAACCAGTTTCCCCTAAGATTTCCTATTTTTGTCACTGATACTAATCATTCTATCACCCAGCTTTGAAATGTTGCTTTGCCCCTTAATTAGTTCTTCCTCCTTTCTCCCACAGCTAATTAGTCACCATTCTTGTCAACTAATCCTTCATATTTCCTTTTATTCACCCCATCTCCTTAACAAACTGTTCACTACATTCCCAAATCATCCCCCATCCTCTTTCATCAATCCTAGTACTATCCCTTTCTTGAACTCAGCTTTTGCCACTGCTGACAACACAGGATATATTGCCACTGATGCAGCATTTTTAAAAAATGAATGTTCAGTCTTCCCAGCTAGATCTTAAGCTCCTTAAAAGCAGAAACAGAATGTTATGATCTCGTTGTGCCTATGCTTACTAAATAACAGATGACCAGTAACTGTGTACTGTTGACAATGACTTTATTTCCCTTAAAGAGAAAAATCACTATAAATATCTAGTTCTGGAAGCAGATTTAAATGTAATCAAGTGGTCCCAAATTAATTTAGCATACTTTGGGGGACAGTTAACTTCCAACCACATAACAGAACAGAGGCAACTGTTCTGAAAAACACATCGAACTTAGGGTTTGATCTTGCTTCTCCTATTAACTAGTTAGTATGTTGTTGTTGTTGTTTAGTTACTAAGTCGTGTCCTACTCTTTGTGACTCAGTGGACTGTAGTCTGCCAGATCCCTCTATCCATGGGATTTCCCAGGCAAGAATACTGGAGTGGGTTGCTATTTCCTTCCCCAGGGGATCTTCCCCACTCAGGAATCAAACCTGAGTCTCCTGTATCAGCAAGCAGACTCTACTGCTGAGATACCAGGGAAGCCCCAACTAGTCAGTATGTGAGTTCCTTCAGTTCCCTCACCTATTATATGCCTGTACAATGGAGTTTATCGTGAGGTTTAAATGAAGTAATATGTGAAAGTGCTTTGAATATTTCAGAATCTGTGTAAATAGAGAATTATGTCACAAAGTACCCAGAATCAACCTCCCATTGATGTTTTAAGATAAACTTTTGTTAACCTCCCAGTTAGAAACCTCCAGCAATTTTAAAAGTTGGTTGAAGGACCTGTTGTATAATTACCCTACACCAAACTAATGTTACTTCATGCTAAGTCACCTCAGTAGTGTCCGACTCTGCGACCCTATGGACTGTAGCCTGCTGGGCTCCTCTGTCCATGGGATTCTCCAAACAAGAATACTGAAATAGGTTGCCATTTTTTCCTCTAGGGGGTCTTCCCCACTCAGGGATCGAACCAGGTCTCTTGTGTCTCCTGCATTGGATTCTTTATCCATAGCACCACCTGGGAAGCCCAGTTGCTTAGTTAACAGTTAGTGTTCTCTGCCATGGCTGCTTCTAGTAGGTCCCTACCTGGTGCCTGCCATTCTCAGGCTGTTTGAACAGGGGCCCAGAGATTTGGAAGGCTTTTCTAGAGGCCACCATCATTTTTAACAGGTGTTATGCAACTTGTTAAATGGCAGTTCACTTGAAAAAGCAAATTCTATCTCCTCTTTGCCCGAAAACTACCTGCAGGGTCCCCAGTGCCCCTCTGCATCATCTCAGGGGTGGGTAAGCCTACCACCCCTAGTGCTGTGTGCTCCCCTAGCACGGATCATGCTGTCTTATGATGTGTTTGCCTCTAAATATGTCTGTCATGGAGATCGGTGGGCATCATAAAACAGAAGATTACAATTTATTTATTTACATGTGAGTTTTCTTTTTTAAGAGTTTATTTATTTTGATACCCCTGCACCTAGCACAAAGCATGGCACTTAGTACTTGCTCAGTAAATACTGAATAATGAACAAACGTGGAAGCAGTAACACTGCTGGTAATGGCGATGTTTTGGTCTCCTTCCCCTTTCCTGAACTCAGCAGGCAAACAATAGGAGGCTCCCAGCTCCCTGGGAGCTAGACTTGGACTCCTAGGCTTATCTCAGTTGGTTGTCTCCCGAGCCACGCAAACAGGGGCAGCTAGGCTTCTTTGGAGATTTCCTTCTTCTCCCATTTTTGTCATCTACCCTCAGGGGCACAGGGGTTTCTTGTGTCATATCTTCAAAAAGATCCTTATTCTCTGCCCAAAAAAGATCATTATTTTGGTACTCTGTTCTCAACAGCTCTTCTGAAGTGAAAATCATTTAGTGAATTCATTCAAATTTTTTGTTAATGACATATCCCCTTCTAGGTTTTTGCATTAAAAAAGAGAGAGAGAGACAACAAATACTTTGAAGATTAAAAGGATTACTCCAAATAAATGAATTTCTAATACTGAAATGTCAATGTCAATATTATTGGGGCTGGGGGTTGGGGCTAGGGAAAGAGAGAGACTTTGGAGCAGCAGTACTTTCACTCTGTCCAAGAAACTGATTTGTAGAACCGGCACCACTCAAACTAGAGGGGGAAAAAAATCTTTGTTTCACCCCAAAACATGCTTGTGATCTTCTCTCCTTCCTACACTGCAGAAGTGTTCTAGGAGGAAGGGAACATATTTTTTCCCTAACAAAATGGCTGACTATTGTAATCTTTGTGAGTTAATGTCACTGGTAGACCAAGCAGTGGTGAGTGGGGAATAGATAGCGGTGAGTGACAGATCAGTTCAGAAGTAAATTCTCTCTTCAGCTTCAGACTACTGGAGTATCCGCAGCCTGTTATAAAAGATCCCCCCTCCCACTTTAAGCCTTTGATCTGATATACTCTCCATCCAGCCTGAGTTAGTCTGGTTCAAGGGTTAATACTTCGCAACATTCCTTGTATCCTCTCCACAGTGTGGGGTTGTCACCAGGCTATGTGATCTTTCCAATACTGTCTCTCAGCCAATATGATGGGAGCAGTTCTCTGCTTTCTTCAATCTAGTCACCTTTGTTTTCTATTGAGCTGATGACTACTGCCTTATACCAGGTGCCTGCACTTAGGCTGCACATGAAGCTGGTAGTGTAAGCAACGGCCACTTTCATTTGGTGGTAAGATGGGAATTTCATGTCTTATTTTCTTTTTCTGAGAATTTGTGTAATATTCTATAAAAACCATTTTTTGTGACAACATGGATAGACTTTGAGGGCCTTATGCTAAAAGAGATAAGTCACACAAAGAAAGACAAACACTGTAGGATCTCACTTACATGTGGAATCTGAAGAAGCTGAATTCATAGAAAGAGAATAGAGTGGTGGTTACTGGAGTTGGGGGGAAGGGGAGTTAGGGAGATGTTGATCAAAGGATATAAACCTGCAACTAGTAGATAAAGAAGTCTGATAGACCTAATGTACAGCAAAGTAAATATAGTCAACAATACTGTATTACATACTTCAAAGATGCTGGATCTTACATGTTCTTACCAGAAAAAAGAAATAACTATCCTTTACTATAGTAAAGGCTTCCCTATCCTTCACTATGTCTCAGAGTTTGCTCAAATTCATGTTCATTGAGTCAATGATGCCATCCAACCATCTCATCCTCTGTTGCCCCCTTCTCCTGCCTTCAGTTGCCATACTGCAATATATAAATACATCCAGTCAACATATTGTACACCTTAAACTCACACAATGTTATGTCAATTGTATCTCCAAAAAAAAGAAACCGTATGTTACTTGCCTAATTGGAGAACAAATTTGCATACATTCTTGAGCACGTCTTCTATGCTTTTTTCATAATCTAGTGACTGGAATATTCCAAATATTTCCATTTTGCATCATATTTGAATCACCATGGCTTTATTCTTTTGAATTAATTTTTTGTTTCTAAGTTGAAAGAGAGAAATAACTGAATGATAGGTACAATGTAGATTTTGAAATTTATATTCCAGGTTTTTAAGTCACACGAATGTAAGCAAACAAATCATACAATACAAAACAGTTTAACCCAAATGTCAGCTCCAGGGATTCTTGAGATAGCTACTAACTACTAATGTTTGGTTTTACTCATTTTAGAGGTAGACCATATCTCTATTCAGAAGCCTTTGGCATTGCCTGGGGTCTCCCAGACCAGCTGACATGCTTCTGAGGCTCCACTTCTATTTTCATGGTTAGTGCCCCTTCTCAGCAGCAGGGACATGTGTATGAGTGACGTGCTCATCTCCGGGCCACTATTAAGACATTGAGTTGTAAGCAGGGCATCAAGATGCATGCCATCAATGCCATCCAAAGGAAGAGAACAGGTACTTCAGAGTCCTCTGAATTTTCAGTCTTGTTTCAGAGGCACATAACTGACGCCCACAGTTGTAACCCACTGAGATTTGCTCATGGAGATACTGTCACTGGAGGTTCAATAGCCTTTTCTTATCTGTGAATTTACTAATTGACCTCAGGGATGGAAAACATGCTCCCAAAGCAAAACGGGAAGATGGTAAGTGCCCTAGGCGTAGTGCTACGTGTGCTCACCTGTGTTTAGGAGCCCAAGAACTGGTGAGAACCTGTAGCGACCGTGGCTTTGTGGAACGAGCCGCGGCAGCTCCCTGAAGGCCCTGCCAATGTTAAGTGCTCAGTGTGACCGTGTATGTTCTCTCCCTACAGCTATTGACCTGCTGTACTGGAGGGACATCAAGCAGACGGGGATAGTGTTTGGAAGCTGCCTGCTGCTACTCTTCTCCCTGACCCAGTTCAGCGTTGTGAGCGTCGTGGCCTACCTGGCTCTCGCCGCGCTCTCAGCCACCATCAGCTTTCGCATCTACAAGTCGGTTTTGCAAGCTGTGCAGAAGACCGACGAGGGTCACCCTTTCAAGTGAGTGCGTGACCGACCAGCCCGTGCCCCGCCTCCAGCCAGCCCTTGCCCCGCCTCCAGCCAGCCCTTGCCCCGCCTCTCACGTGGCTCTTTCCTCGGCCTCTATTTCACCATCTTTGCACTTTGGGTCCTGCTTCTTTTGACCTTTAACAGGCCTCTTAGAGTCTCCTTTAACACTGTCTTTTAATAGCAAATATTCCTGTTAAATTTCTAAAGCAGACTCATCCCTAGTCTAATGCTTACTGCTTTATTGAGCTTTTAAAACTTTAGTCACTTCTAATTAACTGTTAAATATTTATCTTTAATATACATTTCTGTAATTTATATAATATAAATCCTTGTGGGTGAATTTGAAATGTGAAAACTTTTAATTTGATATTAATTTTGTATTTAATTACTTCTCATAGTAATCATAATTCATTTATATGCAAACCATGTTTTATGATTTAAAGCGTTTCAACAATTATTCTCCCAACTCTGTGATGAAGGCAGAACATTATAATCCCTTTTCACAGATGGAAAAACAGAGGTTCTAAGAAGTAAAGTGACTTGCTCAAAGTCAATAGCACAGAGCCAGGACCAGGGTGTTTGGATTTTTATTTCTGTGCTCTTTCCAGAAGTTTAATGTCTAAGGGCCAAATTCTGTGGGATGTGAAGTTCATCCCTCAGAATCTGTATAGTATTATGTACTCACAATCGAATAGTATTATGTACCCTCTTCTGTATTTTAATACAGGGGAAACCTGACTCAAATGAGCACTGAGGAGGAGGGTTTCTTTAAGGCAGTGTATTAAGAGGATATATGAAATGTGGCAGAGGGAGATATTAGCACTGCCAGCTGCATGCTCCCCAACTCCACCCCAGTTTACTCCAGACTCTAGCTTGTAAGCCTTGGGTGTTTTAGTACTGACTGTCAGAGTCATACCATCACCTGCTGCAGGCCCCGCTACAGGTGTCCCCACCTGCTATAACAGGGATGTTTCTGCATCCTGGATGAGACCTATGGATACTGCTGCATAATGGCTTCTGAGCCAACCTCAGTGATTCCCGGGGGATGCCTCTGAATCCTCCCTGGCTCAGCCTCATCAGCCAACTTGAATCAAGGTGTCAGGGCACCAGGCTCTTAAAAGAAGGAAAAGATGCCAGGGCCTTGTCGACAAAAGGCAAAATGCCATGTTTCACACATCACTTCCCAGGCTCTGGTTCCTGCCCTCATTGTCAAACACAGTTACAGTTTGATCATCCTCACCCTTGGAATGTATTCGGCCTTCTTCTAATGCAGAGTTAATGGGTCTTCTGGGCTATAACTTGGTTGCCTTCTCAAAGGTGGGAAGAATAGAGAAGTGGCGTGTCATCTTACCAGGGTGAATACTATGCCTACTTCAGTGACCCTCGCCTGTGACCAGTATCCATACCATTAGAGTCCTGTCCTGCTCCAGCCTTTACCTTTAGCCATACAGGAGAGGTTGGCTTCTGCCGTGTTTTTGGATCCAGGACTGTCAAGTTACAATGGGGACTTACCTCTCACTTGTCTTATTTCTTCTGGAACTACCCAGTTGTAGGACCATGAGTCAAACTGCTCAACTACTTTATCTTCCATTAGGAGACACATTTAAAACCTAAACGTTCCTTTGGCTTAATTATTTCTATCAATAAAAGGAATATCTAGCTCAGAGTACATTTTGAATCAAAACATATCAGCTAGACAAATCCGCTTTTCTGATTATTTTTCTAAAAAGCAAAACATAAAAATTCTCAATCCTCAGAGTTAGGTGAGCACTGTTAGAACTCTAGAAGAAGACAGCATGGCAGGGAAAAGGAAGGAGAAGGAGGATGGGTCTCGTTGGCAGCAGGGGAAGGGGGTCAGGGAGCACAGCGGGTATGGTCAAAACAGGAGGATCAATCGATTGATTTTTATAGATTGTAGAGCCTGGTTTATCTACCCAAGAGTTCAAATTAACCCTTTGAACAAATGGAAAATGCAGTTACTAAAAATACCACTCTTACTAGAACCAGTGAGCATTTTAATATGTCCCAGGTCACTTGTGTTTTCAGAGCTCTCTAGAATAAAACCTAGAAGTCCTTTCCAGAATTTAAGTATGAAATCTTAGAGATTTGATGAGAAATAATAATTGGCAGCTAAGATTTTGAGATATCTCAATTATTTAAAAAGACAATTCATCTTCATGCAGCCAAGAAGAAATAAGAACTTTTCACAATTGCCCAGTGAGCGAGTTATACAGAGAATTCAGCAAGTGAACTGATTTGGGACTGACTTTTCTCTGCTCCTAGCCAGTTGCTCTGAATTATCAACTCACATTATCATGTTGCCTATGAGAGACAGAAGCAGTCACATTGCCCCCGCTGAGTGCCATGATTCCTGTGTTCCCCAGGGTACTAACTGTGGGTGTGGGTGTGGTGCCCTGCAGCCTTCTGACCGGCATAAATCCTCCAGGATGACCTGACTGTGGTCCTCAGAGCTGGAGAAGGGAAATTTAGCTGTTTCAGGATTCCCTCTGATGGAGTTCTCTGTGGGGATGCTCTGTTGACAGGGCCTACCTGGAGCTCGAGATCACCCTGTCTCAGGAGCAGATTCAGAAGTACACAGACTGCCTGCAGTTCTACGTGAACAACACGCTCAAAGAACTGAGGAGGCTCTTCCTTGTCCAGGACCTGGTGGATTCCTTAAAAGTATGAGCGCTTAAAGCCCATTTCATTTAACAATCTTGAGTTTTGTTTTCCCTAAAGGTACATATAATGTTATAAACTTCCACATGATGGAGAATAAAGTAAGTGCTTAATTATATTCTAGAGTCTGAAAATGTCCAACTGTACAGTACCGTGGAGCTCATCCAGTCTAATGTCATCATTTTACAGATGCTGAAACTATGGTTCAGAGAGGTTAAGACACTTGCCTGAGGTTGCCCAGTGAGTCACTGACAGCTGGGATCAAACCCAGGTTACATGGCTTTTAGTTCTGTACTACTTACAGTACCCCAGGCTGCTTCTTGTTCCCATTTTCAATTCCTCAAATTCCTAAAATTATTTTTACAATAAACATCTAGTTTAGGGAATGTGAAAAATACACATGCTTTTTCTTAGAAACGCTGTACTCTGCTCATAATAAGACCTGTGGGCTGTGAGAATGAGCCCCTGAAGTGTAGAGGAGGGGCACCTGGGTGTTTTTCCTGGTTCTGTCATTGAACTCACTGGGCTGCTAGGACCACCACATGGCTTATAAACCAAAGTCAATCAGTCGTGACTCAACAGGGCCATGAACAGAGGGGTGGGAGCCCCAGGCAAGGATTCTGTCAGTTCTCCATTCTCCCAGAGCACTGGGAGGGATCTGCACCATGGGCTGCTCCTTGATGAGGAAGAAAGAGCAGAAGGAAAGTGAGTGATGAGTCCCTGATGCTCAAGATGCTTTACTGGAATAACATCTTGGCAAATAATGACTTAAAAAAGAGAGCAGGGAGATTAAAATTACTTACCTTAGAGCTTTTAAGGTAACATGTCTACTTAAATCTGTAATGTGAAAATTGTGGGCTAGAATAGGGATCAGCAAACCTTATCTATTACATAACGGGCCACGTGGTAAATATTTTAGGCTTTGTGGGCTACACAGTCTTTGTTGTAGCTACTCAACTTTGTCACTATAGCAGAAAACCAGCCGAAGACAATACATAAATGAATAACTGTGGCAGTGTGCTGACATTGTTTATGAATACTGAACAATGAATTTCATATCATTTTCACATGTTATACAAAATGTTATTTTTGTTTTAACTTTATTCGACTATGCAAAATTCATTCTTAACTTGTGGGCCTATACGAAAACAGGTCAAGGCCAGTTTGCTGACCCCTGCTCTAGTTTATTATTTCACTGAGTCCCTCAAATCTTACAACAAGGAGATCCATAGGGTTCTGAGACAAGTAAAGTCTGGATCCTCTGTCAGTAATTCTGTGATGAGTTTTAAATGCTCTTATACTTCCTATTGAAACCATGATGTCGTTTGCCTCAAATTTTAATCTAAACAAATCAATGAAATGAGACTCCTATCTGTCATAATGTGTTTAGAAGCTCTGATCACCATTTCATTTGCTAGTTTGCAGTCCTGATGTGGCTCCTGACTTACGTTGGCGCTCTCTTCAATGGCCTGACCCTGCTGCTCATGGGTAAGGACAGACAAGTGTGTTATGTCTCCCTTCACATATTCTGTGAGCATCTCCCCAGGCTGTTAACTTGCTTGGATGGGTTCCTAGCAACAAATTCCACATTTTCTGAGTGCAGAGCATTTCCCTGACCGTCATAGTTCAATTAAAGAGCATAATATATCAATATATTACACAGTAAAAATAAAGTTCTTAAAGTTTTTTCTTTTTCTTCAACCATAACTGGTTTTATCTGGCTTCAAATATATATCTGCTTCAATGGTGTTATGTATAGAAGATCATTTTTATCTTAGGAGGTCATTCTCTCATTCCAGGAATAATGACTTAATATTTGTGAAGGCTTCAGCATTTTTTTGTTTTCCTTATGAACTAGCCCTGCCATCTTTTAGCTAGAATGCTGGCTACTACAAATAATGTCATTATATCACATAACTATATAACAATGTATCTATAAGATTGTTCCTACTGATAACTCTCAATTTTAATACGATATTTGTTTTTCATCCCAGCTGTGGTTTCAATGTTTACTCTACCTGTAGTGTATGTTAAGCACCAGGTAAGTTCTATGTGATATCAAACATTCATGTTAAGTTTTGACCTTGTGAACTGTGGATGTGCTCATGATTTCTTCCTCTTTGTAGGCACAGATTGACCAATATCTGGGACTTGTGAGGACTCACATAAATGCTGTTGTGGCAAAGTAAGTTGCATAGTGCAATTTATAAAAAGGAGAGACTGCCTTAGGCAGGCATTTGACTGGATTAGATAGGAACATTAAAAGGATAATAAAGTAATAGATTGATTTATGATCATTCACTTCTTTGAGTCATATATTCATACCCTTACCAAATATATTATTTCAGAAATAAAGTATAAATTTTAAAACTTCCAATTAAACAAAACTCTCAGTGGTTTATTTCAGGTATCATGAAATGAATTTTAATAAATGAATGATATTAATGTCTGTCTGGGGACTGGCTTATGTCCAAGAATAAGATGGATTGGAGGAAGGAAAGAAGCCTGATTCAGAAAAGTAAAATTAAATTTTAGTAGATTAATCAAAATAAAAGTGCTACCATTTTCAACTTTTAAATAATAAATATCACTAATTTTTAAGCCATTGAAATTATTTTTAAAACAAAACATTTTTTAATCTTGAGAACTTTTATTACCTTTTAGATTACACCATTTAAACTCAATAAGTGTGTGTGCTTGCTTAGTTTATTAATACCATTGCTTTTTAAACCTGAGTCTTAAATAGACTCTACTTTATGGCTACTTTATATATTAGGAGATAATGATTCCAGTTATAAAACTATCTACAGTTAATATAGTCATTAACTTAGTAGTTTTCCCTAATTCTTAAATTAGTGTTTTTAGATATGTCTTAATCTAAAATGAAGTTTTTCTGTTGTTATTATTATTCAAGATTTTATTTTAATCAAAAGCTGACCTCAGCTTTGACTACAAATACACATCCAAGAAATTCTAGAGTTTCTTTCCAGGAATCCCAGAATCATGTAGCTAGACCTAGATGATAGTCAGAATTAAATGGAAGTATTTTAGCTAGTCAAAGATACACAGAGCAAAACAAATAGGAAAAAAGCAAGCGCTTAAAGTTCCTCTGCTATTTGATTTGTGTGTCATCAGTTACAGTTCTCTCCTGAAGTTTATAAAGATTTTTGTTTTTATTATGTATTGTTTATATTCTTCCTCTTAAATTCATGGTGAATGTGGATCTGTATCAGATCTGTAGCACATTTCAAAATGCCTGAAATTATCAGCTTAACACATATGCAATGAATACGTAGTGAAAATCAGCAGATTATAGACAAATATTTATTACTTTGTATTAGGAAATGACAGCGTGGTATCACATGAGACTGGTATTTGCCAAACCTGGGAACCTGTTAAAAATAAGAATTCCCAGATTCTACAACAAACTTATGGAAATAAAATTCCTGGGATAAGGGACCCATAATCTATATTTTAATGAACTTCCTAGGTGACCTTCTGGCAGTTAGAACTGTGCTCAGTAATGACAGCAAAGGACACCAGAATAGGAGCTTGGAACCTGGAAGATAGAAGTTTTAGGCCTCAGCTGTTCAGTACTTAGTTTGAGGATCTTGAACAAATCACATCTCTTAATTTTTTATTGATTAGTTGCTTGCTTCAAAAAAAAAAAAAAGACATTATTTTCCAGGCATTTCATTAACAGGTACAGAGAGTATAAAGATGAATAAGATGATCCCACCTAGCAGAGCGGCCCATGGGTACGGACAAAACTGTAAAGAAATAACCATAAGACAATATAAGAATGAAAGTAGAATTGTGTAAAATATTCAGGTGGGAGAGATAAGGAAACTACTGTTCTTACCTGGGGGATAATGGAAAGCCACTAAAATAAGGGCCCTCACTAGCTTTGGCGGGGTTCTGTTGAGGACTTCTGTCTGTGTCCTCACATGGCAGAAGTAGATGGAAACTCTCTGGGTTCTCTTTTATAAGGCACTAATCCCATCCATGAAGGCTCCATTCTCATGACCTAATCACCTCCCAAAAGCCCCGCCTCCTAACACTAACATATTGGGGGTTAGGTTTCAATATATAAATTTGGGGGTGTTGGGTGATAAGGTGCAACAGGACATAAACATTCAGTCTATTGCAGCCCTGAAGGATGGTAAACACTCATCAGGTGGATGATGAGGGGAATGACACTGCTAGAAGAAATAACACAGGTAGAGGCAGAAGCATGAAAATGTAGGTCAGGGTCAGGGAGCAGTGAGTAAACCACTGTGTCTAAAGCTTAAATAAATGAAAATATGAACTAGAAAGGGCCTAGAAAGAGAAGCTGGGGCCAAGTATCGAATGTTCTAAGGAGTTAGGACTCAACAGGACATAGCCTGTCCTTGATGTTCCTAAGAAGGAGATTTGTATTTTGCACAGATTACTGTGGCAGTCTAGTGGGAGGAGAATTGGAAAGTGAGATGTGGTAATTAGCAAGGAGAATGTTTGAATTCAAACAAAAGTGGTAGGGATATAAGCCTGTTAAAATAGAAGGAAAGGAGAGATGGCAAAAACTAAAATGTATGAATGTATGTATACAATATGGTTGGCTAAATTAAGATTGGAAATCAATGATCTGAACAGGAATAGAAAGGAAACTAAGGACAAAAAGAGAAACTGAGTGGGACTTCCCTGGTGGTCCAGTAGCTAAGACTTCATGCTTGCAATGCAGGGGGTCTGGGTTCAATTCCTGGTCAGGGAACTAGATCCCACATGCTGCAGCTAAAGATCCTGTATGCCATAATGAAGACTGAAGATCCTGCATGCCACAACTAAGACCTAGTGCAGCCAAATAAATAAATAGGAATAAAATATTTTTAAAAAATAAAAAAAAGAGAAACTGGATAAGTTATGTAGTTAAACAGCAGTTCTCCAAGAGAATCTGTTTTGCCTGACACTAAATTTTGAAGGATATTTCTTAGTGGAGTCTTACCTCTTAAGATTTCTTCAACCTCTGAAATTCTGATTACATGTTAGAATAATTCCACCAAAAGAACTCACGCTATTTTAGTGAAACAGTTAAAAACAGGAACTTTGGAATCAGATAGACTAGCTTGAGTCCATTTCTGGCATTTTTTAGTTATATGAATTCATTATAAATGTTATTTGACTCCCTGAGTTTGTTTCTTTATCTATACATTGAAAAGATAATGTCTGTAAAGTATTCTTAGTTGGACATAGGGAGCACTCAATAAATATTCAATGATCATAATCATGATCATCCTACTCCCACTGCTTAGAGATCAGTTCATGGTGAGTGTGGAGGACAGTCCCAGTCTAAGCAGGAAACCTCGATGCCCCTCCCACCCCTATAAATGAGTGAATGATAACTCTGTCCAGGTCATTTAACCTCCCTGTGTCTCAGTTTTCCAGTTCTAAAATGGGGATGCATGCTTGCTAAGTCGCTTCATTCATGTCCAATTCTTTGCAACCCCATGGACTATATAGCCCACCAGGCTTCTTTGTCCATGGGAATCTCTTGGCAACAATACTGGAGTGGGTTGCCATGCTCTCCTCCAGGGGATCTTCCCCACCCAGGGATCAAACCCGAGTCTCTTACATCTCCTGCATTGGCAAGTGGGTTCTTTACCACTAGTGCCACATGGGGAGCCCCTAACTGGGGATAATAACACCTAACAACACTTCCTTAGTATTTCATTGAGGTACTTGAAAAGTCTTCCTGGTGTCCTTGAGGAGAAAATGGAGATGTACAGTCCAGATTATAGCACAATTGGTAGAGTTCCAGAATGTTGAAATAGTAGACCCTATGGATGTTCATTAGTCCACTGAAAATCCATCCAGGGCGAGGTGTGGTACTGTGACACAGGGCTCTGCCCTTGACTCCATGACTTTCCATACCAGTGTTTCACATGACTGTGTGAAGACAAATCAAATATACTCATCAGAGTTCTAGGTGACACATAGCTTGGAGCAAAAGCACATTCAGAAGACAGCAAGCTCAAGATTCAAAATGAATTAAGTGATTTTCAGTAATGTAGAATGCTGAACTGAAATTAATAAAATGAAATTGAATTGACAGGGAAAGCAAAGTCCTATATTTAGATTTTTTTTTAAGTCAACTTTTGCAAATATAGAATGAGAAGAGGGGCAGATGTGATAGAGTACAATAGTGTGTGTAAAAAATACCTGGGGGGTGAGTGATAAATAGATTAACTGATCACAGCCAAATATGAGTCAGTAATGTACTGAGGCATATTTTTTTTAAATATATTCAAGTTTAGATGTTATTAATAAAAGTATATATCAAAATCAAAAGAGGCCATAGTTGTTTCATATCCCATATTGTCATTCCATAGATGTGTTACATTTCAGAGTTGAACATTTTAAGAGCTGCAGTTATACACTGAAGTCATATCTGAAAGATAACTGGGTATTGAAGTATTGGAAATCTGACAGTCATGTGAGTGACAACCAAACTTTACTGGAGATGATTATTCTGGGAAAGAGATAACTTTAAAAGAACACAATAACTATCCTCATATAGTTGGAGGTCTAACATCGTGAAAGAAGCAATCATTCTCTTTTTCTCTAAAGAGCTATGAATGGAAAGGCCAGAAGTTCTGAGATTTGAATGAAACATGAGGGGAAACAGTACCAGTTAGAGTTGTTCAACAATGAAGCCATTTGCCCTGTGAAACAGTAAGCTCACTGACACCCATTCAAGTATTCACATAAAAGTTAGTTGGCCACTGTCACAGATGTGGTTTAAAGGACTTCTGCAATGGGAGAAAAGTAGAATTAGTTAACACTTAGTCTACTGTGATATTCTAAAAGCATTTCAAAACTAAACCATATATGTTATACTTTGGAGAAGACCAGATCTAAGGCGTCTCTATTGAAATGTTTCACATTCTCTGCTGCGTTACCAGTTTCTGCCCCTTCCGGCTCATTTCCACAATCACAGTCTCTCCAGTCTTTCTGTCCTTGCTGTCTCTATTGCTTTCCCTCCCACCTCACTGCCGTCAGGCCTGCACCCTGAGCACTTAGGTTGCTCTTTGCCAGGGTCCCAGTGACCTTCGTATTGCTAAATCCTGCAGTCGTCACTGAGTCCTCTCGCGCGCTCTTTATGATTACTGCCGGCTTTGTTAAGCGCTCTCCTCGACCCTAGGCACTGCTTGACTCAGCTGCTTTCTCGCAGTGTCTTCTCTTGGCTCTTCCTTCTCTCGTTCACCCTTCATCCCTTGTCCTGTGGCCTCGAAGATTATCTCTATGTCAAGGACTCCAAACTGTGTGTCTCCACAAGCTTAGGTTTTTAAAAAGTCCACTTCACAAATACAGAATGTGAGAAGGAGGTAGAGATGAGATAGGATACAACAATAGTATGTATAAAAAATACTTGGAGGTTTTCATTGGTTAATTGCTCACAGACAAATATGAGTCAGTTATGTGCTTGAGACATTTTCTTAAAACTCAGTGCATGTCTAGATGTTATTAATAGATGTATGAAGTCCAAATCAAAAGGTTATTGAAAACAAGGTCTATTCATCTGCTTCAGTTCAGTTCAGTCGCTCAGTCATGCCCTACTCTTTGCGACCCCATAGACTGCAGCACACCAGGCTTCCCTGTCCTTCACCAACCCCTGGAGCTTGCCCAAACTCATGTCCATCGAGTCGGTGATGCCATCCAACCATCTCATCCTCTGTCATCCCCTTCTCCCCCTGCCTTCAATCTTTCCCAGCATCAGGGTCTTTTCAAATGAGTCAGTTCTTCGCATCAGGTGGCCAAAGTATTGGAGCTTCAGCTTCAGCATCAGTCCTTCCAATGAATATTCAGGACTGATTTCCTTTAGGATGGACTGGTTGGATCTTCTTGCAGTCTAAGGGACTCTCAAGAGTCGTCTCCAACACCACAGTTCAAAAGCATCAATTCTTGAGAGCTCAGCTTTCTTTATAGTCCAACTCTCACATCCATACATGACTACTGGAAAAAACCATAGCTTTCACTAGACAGACCTTTGTTGGCAAAATAATGTCTCTGCTTTTTAATATGCTGCTTAGGTTGGTCATAGCTTTTCTTCCAAGGAGCAAGTGTCTTTTAATTTCATGGCTGCAGTCACCATCTGCAGTGATTTTGGAGCCCCAAAAAATAAAGTCTGTCATGTTTCCACTGTTTCCCCATCTGTTTCCCATGAAGTGATGGGACCAGATGCCATGATCTTAGTTTTCTGAATGTTGAGTCTTAAGCCAACTTTTTCACTCTCCTCTTTTACTTTCATCAAGAGGCTCCTTAGTTCCTCTTCACTTTCTGTCATAAGGTGGTGAAGTTATTCATGTTTCTCCTGGCAATCTTGATTCCAGTTTGTGCTTCATCCAGCCTGGCATTTTGCATGAAGTACTCTGCATATAAGTTAAATAAGCAGGGTGACAATATACAGCCTTATACTCCTTTCCCAACTTGGAACCAGTCCATTGTTCCATGTCAGGTTCTAACTGTTGCTTCTTGACCTGCATACAGATTTCTCAGGAGGCAGGTCAGGTGGTCTGGTATTCCCATCTCATGAAGAATTTTCTACAGTTTGTTGTGATCCACAGTCAAAGACTTTGCTATAGTCAATAAAGCAGAAGTTGATGTTTTTCTGGAACTCTCTTGCTTTTTCAGTTATCCCATGGATGTTGGCAATTTGATCTCTGGTTCCTCTGCATTTTCTAAATCCAGCTTGAACATTTGGAAGTTCTCGGTTCGCATACTGTTAAAGCCTGTCTTGGAGAATTTTGAGCATTACTTTGCTAACATGTGAGATGAGTGTAATTGTACAGTAGTTTGAACATTCTTTGGCATTGCCTTTTTTGGGGATTGGAATGAAAACTGACCTTCTCCAGTCCTGTGGCCACTACTGAGGCCAAATTTGCTGGCACGTTGAGGGCAGCATTTTAACAACATCATCTTTTAGGATTTGAAATAGCTCAACTGGAATTCTATCACCTCCACTAGCTTTGTTCATAGTTATGCTTTCTAAAGCCCACTTAACTTCACATTCAACTGCTTACCTAATGAATGTCCCATAGACATTTAAGATTCAGCATGGCCCAACAGATCTTGCAGTTTCAGCCCAGAACTTATTTTTACTTCAGTTGTCACACCATCTTTGTAAATGGCATTATTATTCACCTGGTTGCTCAGGCCCCAAACCAAAGCATCTACCTTGATTACTGTCAGTTTTTCCCCTGCCCACACGTTCAACCCATCAGCTTGGCAGGGGGTCCTGTCTGCTCTATCCCCTCACTGGGTACCCAGAGTGTGCCCTTGACTCCACTGGCAAGACTTCATTCCATATAACCCAAACCATTGCCCTTCAGCACCTAGACTGCTATAGTTGTCCTCCATCCATTATTGCTCTGTTTTCCCACTTTTTTCACATAACCACCATCACGATCTTCTTTGATCACATCATTCCTTTGCCTACAATTCACCAGTGGCTTCCCAGCCACAGAATAGAATCTAAATTCCTTTTACCACCTGCAAGTTTCAACACCATCTGGTTACCTCCTGCCTCTCAGACCTTCCCTCCTCACTCCCCAAGCACACTGGTCTCATCCTGGTCTCCTAAGCTTGTCCTCACTTTTTGGCCTCTGTACTTGCTGCTTCCTCTTCCTGAAACACTTCAACCCAGTGTCCCCTTCTTATCCTGCAGACATCTGTTTCTCACCTCAGGCAATTTAAAGTAGGCATCTCCCACCTAAAGGAAATCAGCCCTGAATATTCATTGGAAGGACTGATGCTGAAGCTCCAATACTTTGGCCACCTGATGCGAAGAACCGACTCATTGGAAAAGACCCTGATGCTGGGAAAGATTGAAGGCAGGAAGAGAAGGGGGCAACAGAGGATGAGATGCTTGGATGGCATTACCAATGACTCAATGATCATGAGTTTAAGCAAATTCTGGGAGATGGTGAAAGAGAGGGAAGCCTGGTGTCCTGCAGTCCATGGGGTCGCAAAGAGTCAGACATGACTGAGTGACTGAACAACATCTCTCAGCTATCACCACTGCCCCCTCATTGCCTATCATTCCATCTTGTTTGGGTTTTTTTTTTTTTAATAGCATCTGTAGTAATACGTACTTCTCTTGTTTGTCTACTTGTTTATTTCTGGCTCCTCAACCCCTAGGAGAATGAAAGCTCCATGAGAGCAGGGCCTTCTCCCTTCTGTTCACTGAACTCCAGCATCTGGAAGGGTGCCTGGCACAGAGGAAGGTCTCAGTGAAACTCTGCATGGGGAGCTCATTAAGCTTTGATTTAATGAAGCAAAATGCTTCCAGTATAAACCTACCTAAAATAATACTGCCATTCTGCGAGAATCACAGAATTTTAGGGGCATTAGAAATATCTAATTTGCACCCGGTAAATGCTCTAAGACCAGGAAGGCTCATTAGCTTCCAGGTGGCACACAGCTAGTAGAGAGCTGAAACTAGGACTCAGTTTTCTTCATTCCAGTTCTAGCAGTTTATGCTGAGGGCGACCATGTGTTTCTTCACCTGGAACCATCCCTGTTGATGCGTGTTGTCCTGGTATAGTTAATAACACCACTGTCTTTCTCTTTCATAAGTGTCCCAGACTGAGTGATAAATGGCCACCTACGTATATCTCAGCTTCTATAATTCTGAAATAAATCAGCATCTTGTCTACCTAAAAAGTTATAATTTAAGAAATATGGCTTCCTGGGGTCATTCATTATCTATTATACTTCCTTATTGCACAGCAATGCATTTATAGACACTCATACATAAAAATTATGCTATTTTTTGGAATATTAAGCTATTTGGTCACTTAGCTAGTTAAAGCAACAACACATAGTGATGTCGTAAGATGATTTCATTAATAACACTTGTGACTTACCACTGTCTGATACTGTCTTTTTAGGATTCAGGCTAAAATCCCAGGCGCCAAAAGGCACGCTGAGTAAGCGGGTGCCCCACCAGGGACTGAACACCAAGAGGAATGTCTGAAGTGGTAACGGCTCTGTCTTACATGTTACTGCAAATTGATTGTTTCTCCCCCCAGTACCATAATCTTAGAGACAAACTTTAAAACAGCTGTTTTTAGGCTGTTTCTGTACCCTTAGGATATTTGAGTCACTTGTGTCAAGCACTAAAGTATAGCGAAAAGTGTATTAGATGTGGTTTTTAATTTTGTGTTGCTAAAAAAAAGTGCATGATGGTGAGAACCCAAGTTATCTTTCCTTCGTCGGTGTTCTTCTCTCTGCAATGCTTCTGTAGCTTCTCATGTTCCCTGTGGCTAGGCCTTTCCTGCCCAGTGCACTGATGCAATAGTGGAAATCGCTTCTATGTCCTTGGGTTGTTGGTTGGATTAATCTTTAATAACAATATATAGACTTGTAGACCAATGTTTAAGTGTTTTTCCAACACACACAACATAAAAATAAAAACAAGTCGACCGTACTTAGGGTAATCAGTTTTGTATAACTTAAAATAATTAAATAAATGAATAAACCCAAAAACAAACATGCAGTACTTTTGTTGTGTGAGACTGATGGGCTGATTTACATGTATGGTAACTAAAAAGTACCAGCATGTTAACTTTATTACAATTTGTATTACTTTCTCTGTAGTTCCTAATGGACTTAATTATGGATTCTGGATATTTGCACTTATGTACTTGATACTGAATGCATAAATAAATGTTACTAAGTGTAGAAACTTCTCCCTCTCTTCTCGTGATCGCACCAGAAAACTCAATGCTCTAAGAAGTAGCATCTGTGGATGTGCCGGACAGGCTGAGAACAAGTACTCACTTTGCTCCTGTTTCCAGAATCCACATAGTCCAACTCCAGCCTAGTATATGGCTCCTTTGGGTTATTAATAGAAATCACTGGAGACTGGTAAAACTGGAAAACATTCTTCATATTGTACTCGATGGGGCTTATGTAGATAATTTAAATAGTTTTTTTAAAAACTTGAACATGGTATAAATCCTCCCATAGACTTATAATAACATGCAACACAATACTAGCATAAAACAATTATAATTGCTATGAACTCACTCTTTTGGTAATTATTTATTGAGCATCTACTGTACTTGATACTGAGTGCCTAGCACTCAGAACAGGGTGGTGAATAAGAGAGACAATGAGTCCTGCCCTCACCAAGCTGAGTCTTTGGGGTTATTTACTACTCTTTGCAGAAGTCCAGTCACCTGTGTTATGTCACCGTTAAAGTCAAAGTCAAAGATGCTGGGGTAGAAGGGGGGATGAATGTAGTAGCAGTGGGAGAAATAAAAATAGCGGGGGAAGGATCGTTACTTACAAAAGCTGCCTTTGAGCAGTTTTGGACTTGCGTTCAGTAAGCACTCATGGAGTTACCCTTCTGTGCAAAATATTGTGACGACCACACAGTCAATTAACTAGACACTGCCAACAGCCAAGACTGGGGGAGACGGGAGGAGGTTATATGGAAATGCTCACCAAGTAAAAGGCAGCGTGAAATAACAGCTGCAATGTAAAACTAGAGCAAACAGAGACGGATTCTCAGAGGTGGACTTTGGGGCTGGGTTCTGATCTGGCTTTTTCCAGAGGGAGACGGGTCATCACAGTACGAAGAAAGAACATGGACTAAGGTGCTGAGACATGGGAGCACATGGCATATGCAGAGAACAGTGAGTAATACACTGAATTGGGCTAGAAGGTGCTTGAGCAGGAATGTAGTACCAGGTAAGGCTGAAAGGGTGGTGCTAAAAAGAGACTTGAATGTTAAGGAGTTGGTGTTTTGTTTCTTAGATCTCAGAGAGTCAGATAGACACAGTGTGGGTGCATGATACTGGAGATTAGAAGAATATAGGAGATAATTGTGATATAACTAACAGGTGACAAATGACAAAGCTTCTACCATGACAATGACAATAGACAGGATATATTCACCTGTCTGATCCTCTATCTCAGCCCAACATGCCTAGCACCCACTATGCACAGAGGAACCACTCAGAGAGATGACATGGAGGGGATGGGATTGGAGATAGTGACTGATTACATGTGGAAGTTCAAGACCAAGGCTCACCCTGAGAGTAAGTGCCTCCTTAAATTCTGCATGCTAGGCAGCTTGCCTGCATCACCCTAGCCCCAGATCTGTTAAAGACTAGCTGTTTAGGAGAGTGCAACACCATTTTTCAGGTTAGAAAGCCCAGAAGAGCTGGGGAAGGAAAATAATCAACTTGGTTTGAGGCCTGCTTTTTTTTATGGTTATTAGATATAGGAGAGGGTTTTGTGTGTGTGTGTGTGTGTGTTTCAGTGTCCAATCTCTGAGATAAAGTTTCTTCTAAACAGCTTTATTGTGTCAAATTAACCTTCTTCAGAGTCTGCTTTTGCAGCATTTATCCTCTCTCCTGAGAGCCCAGAATTCCTTTCATAAGCAGCTGCTCATTCAGAGGATCTAATGAGGAATTCTGTTTGCTAGCAGTGGTGAAGAAAGTTTCCTGAGGAAACTCCAGCCTGACAAAATGATAGGTATGGACGTAGAATTTAACAGATGGAAAACACAGGGCACACATGATCCTGCTTTATAAATATCAATATCAAATGATATTGGAGATGATGGAAATAATGTGAGGGCCCAATGACCAGGTAACAAGTAGACCAAGAATAGAGCTCTCAGGGGCCCAGAGTGAGTGAGGTTATCCTGAAAGCTGTGAACAATAGAAAATTCTTACAGCCTAAACACAAGTTAAGCAAGAAGGGGTTGAGGAGGTGAAGAAGCCATGGTGTTTTATGGATCATTTCAGGAAAAAGGGAAGTAGGATAGTTCATATTTTCTCTGCTCTTTCCCCACCTGTATCCGTTTCCTAGTATTACCCTAACAAAGTACCAACAACTGGGTGGCTTAAAATGACAGAAATTTATTGTGTCACAGTTCTGACGGCTACAGGTCCAAAACCATGTGCTGGCAGGGCTACACTCTCTCTGATAGCTCTAGCAGAGGATTCTCCCTTGCATCGTCTAGCTTCTGGTGGTTGCCAACAGTCTATGGCATTCCTTGGCTTGTAGATGCATCACCCCAGGCCCAAGGCCATCTTCTCACTGAGTGTCTTCACATCACCTTCCTCTGTGTCCAAATCTCCCCTTTCTATTAGGATACCCAGTCATATGGATGAGGGCCCCCTCATGACCTCATTTTAACTTCATTGCTCTGTAAAAATCCCATTTGCAAATAAGCTAACATTTTGAGATATTGGGGTTTGGCACTGCAACATAGGTTTTGTTGGGGACACAATTCAACTCATAGGCCTCCCTGAGCATGATAGTGGCCCTTAGAACACTGTGAAGGCTTTTCCTTCTGGGCAGAACCCAGACCTGTTTCCGCAGTGGATTCTCCAGGGCGTTACTACCGAGAAGCAGTGGAACAGCTCCCCGCTCACCTGAGTGTCCCTGAGCACAGCTGGGTGCTGGGCCTTACTTCACTACATGGAGTTCCAGCAGCTGTCCCATTGTCACTAACTAGGGCAACTTCAGTCACCCGAACTTCAGCACTCTCTTCTGGAGAAGGGAGTGGCTACCCACTTCAGTATTCCTGCCTGGAAAATTCCATGGACAGAGGAGCCTGGCGGGCTACAGACCATGGGGTTGCAAAGAGTCTGACACAACCAAGCAACTAACACTTTCACATTTTCTTTTTCTTTCCTAAGTATGGGAAGTAGGTCGGGGACACAGGCGCTCCCACTGCAGTTTGGTATCAGCCAGTGTTGTTGTGGTTAAGGTGCAATAAACAAGCTCTGTAGATCTGGGCACAGAGTCAGTTTGCCTTCACACTCCAGCCTTCTTATCTAGTATTTTATATTGGCAGCAATCTCAAGCTCCTCACTATGTTTTTTTCTTTAAAATTTTTCTTTAGTTCAGTACATTCAACATTACAGAATTAATTTGGCTGGCCACATTTTCTTTAGTGAGTAAATTGAAATGAATTCTTTTGTATCCTATGTACCAGTTACCTTTTAAAAGAATTTTGCTGGAATTAGTTCTCTCTGGTTGCTCCCCAATATGCTGAAGGGAGTTTTTCAAGTAGAAATGAAAGAACACTATATGACAACATGAGAATATAAAGTATGAAATTTAAAGTAGATTTTAAGTCAAAACTGTGTGTGGAGACAAAGAAGGTCATTGCATATTCATAAAAGATTCAGTTCAATAGGAAGATATAACAATTGTAAATATATACACATCCTACCTTCGCATGAAGTGAAGTTGCTCAGTCATGTCCAACTCGTAGTAACCCCATGGACTGCAGCCTAGCAGGCTCCTCCGTCCATGGGATTTTCCAGGCAAGAGTACTGGAGTGGGTTGCCATATCCTTCCCCAAGGGATCTTCCCAACCCAGGGATCGAACCCTGGTCTCCCGCAGTGTAGACAGACGCTTTACCATCTGAGCCACCAGGGACGTCACGCCCCCTTGTGGTCACACATCCGACCATACTCTGGGGGGCATTTCATGACCATTTTGTCCCGCATTGCTGGGAAGGCTTGTTCCCAGTTCTAAAGAAGGTTTTTGTCATAAGACACTCAATATGCTATTACTGGACTAGGTCTTAATCAAAGATCTCTGGACACCTGTCTTCTAGTTATGGTCCAGGAAAGTATTTCCTTTGTTGCATCTTTTCATACCTAGAGTTACACTATTACAATCATTGATCATATATCGAGCTATTTATTTGATCAACTGCTTTAAGTCTAGCCATCATTTCTGTTGGAGGCTCAGTCATATACTTGGTAATACAAAAAATAATAATCTGGTGAAACAAGCAATATACAAATCGTATATTAATAACATTTGTGGAATTAAAAGTAAATATTTTAGCCATGAGCCTCCCACACCAGTTTTTTTTAAAGATCGTCAAGACTAGGGAATGAATCACTTAAAGCAGAAATCTGATTTTTCATGTGGTTCAAATGTGTTATATTAA